TCATAGTAATACTCACCCACAACAGATGCAACATCCATAATACACTCAATCTCCTCGTCGGTGTCCATTACTCCATTGTAATACAAGTTAGTATCGAATATTCACTCCATATACAATACTACCTCAGTCTCCATTTCGGTTTTCCTATTAGTATCCATCTCTTACATTATTATGCAATTTAAAAAGCTCAAAAACGACAAACATAAAAAGGAAAGCATAATGCCAAAAAAGCAAGTCCAACCTACCATTAAAATGTAAAATAAATCAATTCTAACTATAATACTTCTAAAACATAGCTAACAAAATAAAGAGTAATCAAGTTCAGAAAGCATAATGACAAAAAGAAACACAAAAAGATAAACATGAGTCACTCTCTCTCAGAAAACTCATACAACTCTCTAATCATCTTCAGGCGCACAAGGTCAAAGACCAAATTGCAATAAACAAGTCATTAAATTTGCCTTTTATGAATTGGAGACTCGCAAACATGAACAAATGACTACCCTCCTAAATCTCATGGATCTTATTAAGGAGTTCCATGCATCGTTTCATAGAGATTAGCCTTGTACCTTTGCAGCCCTATGAGCAGCTATTAGCTTAAATGTAGAGGCAATTCTTTCTAAGTTTCTACTAATCCGTACAACCCCTATTGTCTTCTTTTTCCTAGAAGAGGTGCTACTCTTTCCTATGTCTCTAGGAATTGTCCTATGTGGGTGAGTTTTAATTGTTTGTATTTTAACTTCTTGCATTGTTTTGGATGCCTCAATTGGTGTGTGTGACTCATGGTTCATCATCCATCTGGTCATCTTTCAAAATCGGTTGTGTTAAAGGCACCACCTCCAGTAGTACACCCTCATTTGGTGCCCAACTATGATAACCATGGGCAATTGTGCCACCGAATATGATATCCACGTCCGCCGCATGGAGAAAACCCTTGTGCCTAAACTATACTGCATCGGGATATGTCTATCACACAAGGACATAACTATGTGTGATTTTGCCTAACAAAAAGACTAGCCTACAATTTTATTTTATAAAAATGCAGAAACACACCATACCTTCAAATAATCTTCCAAAAGTCATCCCCAACAATGGTTATTTCGTTTACTGGACCCCAACCTAAACCGGTATAAGTAGACAATTTATGGAATATCTTCCATTCATTCTTTACTGCATCTCAATGATTCTTCATTTGTTTCTGGGTATAGTTTTTTTTCTGTTATCCTATTGAACTCCTGAATTACAATTAGCCATCCTTGCCTATCCATGGTAGTATTGGTTTGGTGGTCGGTCATGAATTGTTGCAAACATAAGTCCACCCAAATTTTGTGTAGTTTGGGAGTCCATGTAGCCTAGGAGCTCCCCCCCATTTTTCCCTTGACTACTATCCATAACCTACAAATTATAATTATAGTAGTAGTAGTAGTAATAGTAATGATGATGATGATGATGATGATGACGACTTCAATTTATATATATGCATTATGCAATAGGCAAAAAATAATGGAAGAACATCACAAGTATGCAATGAAATGGAAGGACATCACAAATATGCAATAAGAATTGTAAAACAATATGATAGAACCAATTATTCTTATTAATAATAAAAAAAATATGAATCAAAATTCAGATTAGGCAATAAAAAATTGGAAGAACATCACAAGTATGCAATAATAATTATAAAAAAAATATGATAGCACCAATTATTCATATTAATAATAAAAAAATATGAATCAAAATTCGAATTAAGACAATAAAGAAATGGAAGAGCATCACAAATATGCAATAAGAATTATAAAAAAATAAGATAACACCAATTGTTCATGTTAATAACAAAAAATGAATCAAAATTTGGATTAAGCAAAAAAAAATGTACTAACATCATACAAGTATACAATAAAATGGAAGAGCATCACAAATGTGCAATAAAAATTAAAATATATATATATATATATATCACCAATTATTCATATGTATAATCAAAAAATAAAAAAAAAAACAAATTATGCAAAATAAATATCAAAATTTCAGCAAGTACATATTATTTGTATACAAAAAACAATAAAAAAAGTAGTAGTTATTCATACACACCATTACACAACCAAATACACATAAAATAATCATATCATTTTCAATTTTTATCTCTGAAAATAAAAAAAAAAAACGTTTTTCAGCAATATATTGCACAAAAAAATCTAAATAAACCAAAAATGGTGGAAGGTATACACGATTGGGATGACTTACCTTTGGTTGCGAACACAATGAATTCTCGGTCCCTAAAACCAGATCTAAGAAAAAAACGCCAAGCCAACATAGTGTTCTCGTCGGCTGGTTTTTTCCATTTCAGTGGTTGTCGATCACGCTCAAGCCAAGTGATGTCGTTGTTGATATGTGTTTGTGTAAGTGAAGGAGAAGGATTTTCTCCATTGTGGGGGCATTTTGGGTATTATAAAAAATATTCAAGGACTAGATTGTCCCATAAATGCTTATTTATCAAACAGGAATAAGTGCTTATTTTCCACTTAATGTGTGATCTCAACACTTTTTTTAAGTACTTATTGAAGTAAGTACTTAAAAGAAGTAAAATCAAACAAGGCCTTAATAAGGTTGGTTGGCCATTTAGTGATAGTCTAGTTATGTCAATTACTTAAATGCTTGTGACAATTTCTATTAACGGTCATTAACAATGATCTACAAAAGGTGAGTGCTTTTTGGACAATAAAAACTCATTAACAAGTGACTCTTTAGAGGTTTTGAAAAGTGATGGTCCATTTAAGAGGAATGCCTATAAGTCATAGTGACTTTAGATGATATCCTTTTTTTTCTTCTGGATAGATTGGAAGAAAATTAGGAGGCACTTGTAATTTTTTGTTTTTTCTTTACAATTAAAAAAAAGACCATTCCCAAGCCTTGTAAAAACATAAGAAATTAAACTCTTAATCTCTAAGGCTATTATTTTGTATGCTTTTTGCATACAAAATAATACAAAATATAAAGTTTTGCACACTACATATTTGTATTTGTAGTCCTTCCAAATTGAGCCATATTCTGCATTTGTTTGTGATAAAAACATTAAAGCAAGGTAATAATATATCTCGATTCAACTTCGCAAATGTTTGTTTGAGATGGAAATATGCATTGTAAATTGATTAAAATCTACAATTATACCGACATTTTCATCGACAATAGGTACAAAAATCAAAGTAAACTTGCTTGCATTGATGGTTGAAGTAAACTAGTTACCTATTTGGTCTCATTAATCTTAAACCATCCTACACTTCTTACCAGTGCAATTGAGTCTTGGTTCTTTGATTCTAGTCCTTCTAAAGGATATAGTGATAGTAGTGATGCATCTTTATATGACTTTGGAATACAATATGTTACTCAAAAGAGATCAACTCTTAAATGAGTTCAAAGATTATTATTGCAATTTCATGAATTAGACCCTATATAACCACCTCAATCCTAATTATCAACCTCCACATAATTCCATATGGTAATAGTGCTAGATATGTTATTAAATGATTATATCATTTTATTATCTTCTTAATAATTTTATTTATATACATTATATGCTCATTCTTAATATAGGTGACACTCTAGTTTCAAGAACCAAAATACTAGGATGATGTGAGCAGACCAACTCCTTCACATTTCTTCTAAGACTTGGGCCTCTAGCGTTCCAACCAGTGATTTAAAAGGTGCGCCTAGGCGCATTTTGGGGCATGCACCTCGCCTAGGTCCTAGGTGCACCTCTTTCAAAAGGCACGCACTTGGTGCGCCTTGCGCCTCAGCCCAGGCATGCGCATTTTTAAAATTTTGCTCTTTTTGCTTTTTTTTTAGTCTAATGGCTGGGTCGGGGGCTCCGCCCCTAAACCCCCGATCACGCCCCTCGAGGCAAGCCCGAACAAGTCTCTGTTAGGGTTTGAAATTCTTATTTCTCACAAAAAATAATTTTACAACTTTCACTGCCTTCTAAGAAGATATTTTATTGCAATGAATGAATGAACAACATCAACAAATAAGAGGTTCTCGGAGCTTTGGTGAGCGAGCGAAGCGAACAAACACCCTATTTGCTGATATTGTTCATTCATTCGTTGCAATAAAATATCTTCTTAGAAGGCAATGAAAGTTGTAAAATCATTATTTTTTATGTGAAAAATAAGAATTTCAAATCCTAACATAGACTTATTCGGGCTTGCCTCGAGGGGCATGGTACAAAGACGACTCATAGAATCAAGAATGCAATATATTTTACATCATATTAGCCACTTGAAGCAATGCAATTAAGAAAAAAAAAAGTGGGGGTTTTACATGCTTGAAAATGCTTTATATGTTTGCTGTTATTTTTAAATTTTCATTTGAATACACTTTACATGTTATGTTTATGTATTTTAATTTTAGATAATAGGTTTTTTAAATCATTTATTTTAAAATTTAAGTTTATATTTTTATTAACATTATGTTTAATATTTTTTTTTAACTTTTTGGCATTTTTGGAATTTTTTGACATTTTTTTAGCTTTTTTTTTGTAATTTTGTGCCTTTCTTGAAAAGATGCGCACCTCGCGCCTCAGGCGCAAATTGGCCCTTGCACTTTTAAAACACTGGATCCAACTTCCAAACGAGTGTCTTCATTGCCAACCAGAGTCGATTTTAAAATTTACATCTTTTATCAAGGTCATTTTTGCTAAATAAATGAGCTACAGAATTACCCTCTAAAAATTGACGAGAAATGAATAAGTTGGAACTTAGCGAAAAGACTGATACAGTCCATTACAAACCTAGGTATGCCATAGAGGGTGTTTTTCTTCTTACAAACTAGAACTATGGCTCTAGGTTCACGTTCAACTACTAAATTTTTTTATCCCTCTAATCAAGGCAAGGCCAAGGTCCCAAGGCAAAGTATAGCACTTGCCCACGAATTCCTCCAATGCCAGTGTCACCTATATATCAACAGAACTGTAAGTATTTAATCTGACCAGCCCGATGATGAACCCATTTCACTGTAACTAACTGCTTGGACTATTTCAAATCTCATTTAAATGCCAGTAGCCAAACAGAATTCTGAGGTTCTCAGCCAAGCTATATGCACCATTTCATGAGTTTGAACATATCAGTTGAAGCATTTGTTATTCTGTGCCAGCCATATCCACAAAAGAATTTGTTATTCAGTTCAAACCCCTGCAAAAGAATTCGACATCCATTAACACTTGAGAATAATAGTCCATATGACTTGCTGACATCATAACTCATTATTGACCTAAAACCAAATATTTTAAACATACATATACAAGTGTTACTGGATTTCTTCATCAGTGTTTCATTAGACACCAATGTTATTAAAATCTTACGATTCACGATTTGAATCATGAACCCCAAGGGTTTCGATTCGAGTCTTATGTCTAAATCCTTTTCTGCTCCTAAAATTTGATTCATAAACATTACGATTCATGAGATTCATTGTGACCCAAATCAATTAAATTAAGAATCAGTTCATTTTGCTCTGTTTATATTTAGTTTTTGTCAAGGGTAACTTGTTCTAAAGACCTTACTAGAACTAGAAGCTGATTTATTTACGTTATTTAAGACTATATATTATTGAGTTTATTTTCTATCATGTGTTGGATAAAGAGCCATTGTATGTGGATTATTTGACTTTCAAGTTAAACTCAATTATATCATCTTAGACTTCTATTGTATAAACTCTATTGTTTTAGGTACTAGATATGACTTAAAATAATACTTTTCTATATATATTTAGCCTTTTAGCATACCTATATTTAATTTTTGACAACTTGTAAAAAATAGAAATAATCTTATGATTCATGATTCAACTTCCTCTACAATTTCTGATACGATTACGATTTTCAGAACATTGTTGGACACAAGATGATTCTAAATCAAGAATGTGCAGAAAAAAAAGTTAGTGAACCAAACACTTTTTTCCAAAAAAAAAAAAATCTCCTCTTTTTGTCTTTTGTGTGTGGCAAGAATGACATTGGATCGGAAACAGCATAGAAGAGGAAGGGGAGAGATTGCACCTTTAGGGTTTTACCTAAAACACACTTTATTCTTTATTTCATTCTCAAATTCTCTAACAAATTAAACCAACTTCTGTGGACCCCACTGGACAACTAACCAGTATTTCCCGAAATCTCTACAGATCTTGATCACCAAATTAAAGAGATAAATTTTTTTGATAGTATAAAGAAAGAAATTTATTAAAATAAAAGTAGAGTAGCTGGATACAATCATCAAGGTGTTACGACAACACCTGAACCAACAACACCCACTACCTCATAGTACACCAAGATAAAAAAGATGAAAAACGAACACTACAAAGACAATCCTATTGATATTTAAACTCCTTCCCAGAATTCTCTCGGTTCTAAAAACTCAGAAAAAGAACAAGAAGTCCCTCCCCTACCCAACAGCAATGCTAATCATCTCCTTCAAACACTTCTTCCTGCCCATCTCCTTCTTCATTTCACACCTCTCCTCTTTGAGTTCGAACCTGCGCTCCACGGGCTGGCACCCCAAAAATGTCCCACACAATAGGGCCTCACCGGGTGTCCTCCCACACGCATCCCCCTTTGAACTCGTGCTGAGCTACCAGGATGTCCATTAGCTCCAAAATACCAAAACTCAAATGCCCACCCCCCCCCTGCATTCCCTCTCATCTCTCAACCTGCCCTGTTTGTGTAACCCTGCCTGAACCCTCACCTCCTCCTCCATCGCCGGTGCCAACGACTGTTGTGCTTCCAGGAGAAGTTTCTCGAAACCTTACCAGCAACTAAGCTGTAGACTGTCAGAAATCAGCTTGTATTTGTTAATTTTTTTATTACCATCTTCCTGTTGTCTTCTGACTGCACTTCTGGATTTCCTAACTTTCTTGTTAGGTCCAAGGCCAAACATTCCTCCTTTTATCCTTGCAAAAACCTTTGAAACTGGTATCTGTTGTTGGCTTCTTTTGCTCTTCTGAGTTTTGAATCTTCTTCCAACGGCTTCTTCCATCTTCCCCTTAAAATTCTGATCCCTAGCTGTAATACCCTCCCTCTCTACCTCCTCTACCTTCTCCTTGATGTTATTCTCATCACCTACCTCATAATTTTCCACCACTTGATTTATTAAATTGCTTGACTTACATTCAACCACTATGCCTTCTTGAATTTTGATCTCCCCAGTTCTTTCCTCCACAGACCTGAAGGCTTCCTTTGTGAACTCCTCCCCTCCTAAGAAAAATGGACCCAGAATTGTACTAATTTCCACTTCCTTATTCACTACTTTTTCAATGTCACATGTGACCTCCACCTTCCGTGTCTCATCTATCATCGGGTCACCCTCACTTTCCTCCCCTGAGTCCTCCCCTGAGTCCTCCCCAGAATCCAATTTCAGTCCCTTTTCTCTTTTATCTTCCAAGGGAAAAGTTCTATATCATTTCCTTTTATACATTCTGACACCACCCCTTCTATTGTTTCCTGCCCCCTCCCTCATTCCCTGCTCCTTTCTCCCCTTCCTTCTCCTCCACTAAACCATCGTCTCCTTCCCTTCCTCTTTCCCTCCCCTCTTCATTTTCTCGTGTTTCCTCTGCCCCTACAAACCGGATCATCTCAACTCCTTGACTGCTCTCCCTCTCTTCCCCGATTGTAGCTCTACCTCCTTCCCTCTCATCCCTAATCATCCCTCCATTTTTCTCTTCATTCATTTCCTGTTTTTGCTTTTCCAATTTTACTTGTAATTTTTTTTTTGATCAGTACTTACTTGTAAAATTTTCCAAAGCATCTTCCTCGCCAGTAGGGTCTTCTTGTAAAACCTCCTCGTCCTCAACTTTTTCTGGTTGCTATTTTTGTCTTCAGAACAGTAGAAGATCAAGACTGTAATCAGTCTTGAATCCTAATAGGTTTTAGGTTTACAAAACAGAAGAAAAGTGAGAGAAAGGAGAGAGAATAGAAGAGAAACAGGAGAACACGTGGTTGAAAGGAGGGACAGATTCTAACAGATCTGCCGCCGCCACTCTTAATATTTATAGGTTATGTTTAGTACATAATGGAAATGACACATCTGCCCTTAGTACTTACATAATAAATAAAGTAAATGAAAGTTGAAATAAAAAACAACTGAATTAACAAATTGACACTACTATAACTGAAACAAATAACTACACTGCTGTCCTACGAACACAGTGGGGMCCACWKCAGTGTTCTCTACACTCCCCCTCAAGTTGGGAGTAGATATCTATCATTCCCAACTTGGATAGGTCTGTCTCTAACTTCTTCCTTGGTACAGCCTTGGTGAGGATATTCACGAACTGCATATTAGATGTGATGTATGGAAGACACACTTCTTGTGATGTGACCCTTTCTCGCACAAAATGTCGATCAACTTCGATATGTTTAGTTCTGTCATGCTGCACTGGGTTGTGGGCTATATTAATAGCTGTCTGATTATCACAATACAGCATTAAGGGCTTTTCATAGTCAATACCCAACTCTTCAAGTAGTGACCTCAGCCATAATATTTCTGCCACTCTATTAGCCATTGACCTGTATTCCGCTTTAGCACTGGAGCGGGAAACAACACTCTGCTTCTTACTCCTCCAAGAGACAAGGTTGCCTCCCACAAGGGCACAATATCCAGAGGTAGACCTTTTGTCATCAACACTCCTAGCCCAATCGGCATCTGTATAGACTTCCACCCTCATGTGATTATTGTTCTTGAGCAATATACCTCTACCCGGGCATCTCTTCAAGTATGCTAATATTCTCTCTRCCGCAAGAAGATGAGAAGTTTTAGGGGAGTGCATGTGCTGGCTAACAACACTAACTGCATAGCTGATATCCGGCCGAGTGAGGCAGAGATACAGGAGCTTTCCAACCAACCGTTGGAACATAACTTTGTCTTCAAGAGGCTCCCCRCCCTCTGCACTAATCTTGTGATTTTGTTCGATGGGTGTATCATCCGGCTTAACACCCAACTTTCCAGTTTCCGCCAACAGATTTAGAACATATTTTCTCTGAGAGATAAAAATCCCCTGCTTGAATCTAGCAACCTCAATACCCAAAAAGTACCGTAGTGCACCAAGATCTTTCACCTCAAACTCTTGATGAAGGAGCTGTTTGAGGGACTCAATCTCATGACTGTCATTTCCTRTCACCACAATATCATCAACATATACTGCDAGTAGTGTCAGAGAGGACTCCACCCTCTTGATGAATAGTGTATGATCTGACTGGGCCTGTACATAACCAAACTTTCCAAGGGCTAATCTGAACCTATCAAACCAGGCTCTAGGTGACTGCTTCAAACCATACAATGCCTTGTTCAGTTGGCAAACCTTCTTACCTGTCTCTGTATCATAGAATCCAGGAGGCAACTGCATGTAAACCACTTCCTGTAAGTCTCCATTCAGAAAGGCATTTTTAGCATCCATCTGAAACAGGGGCCAAGAATGATTTGCTGCAAGGGAAAACAGAACTCGGATGGTGGTCATCTTGGCTACTGGGGCAAAGGTCTCYAAGTAGTCTATACCATAAGTCTGAGTGAACCCCTTTGTAACCAGTCGGGCTTTGTACCTTTCAATAGAGCTATCAGCATTATGCTTCACAGTGAACACCCATCTGCATCCCACCGGTTTCTTTCCTTTTGGTGGGTCAACCAGTGCCCAAGTATTATTCTTCAATA